AATATACGATTTCTAAAGATAAAAACTTGTGTGGGCTTTACTGTAGTAGAAACTATGAAAGAGTGAGCCAATCAACAATCCCTCCACAGGGAGATCAGCCTGGAGGGGTGAACCTGTACACAGCGCAGTTTTCACACTCCAATTTGAAAAAAATCACTAACGAGTTTGTATAAGATCTTGGAAATCTTATTGGAAGTTTATCGGCGCCACGGGACCCGAGCTTTGCAGTTTATAGGCCTTCGGCTCTTTTTGAATTGATACAAATGTTGAGATGCAGTTACGCTGCTGTTGGATTTCTTCCTTGAACACAGAGGTCAAGAAAAAGCTGGAGAAACTTTTGTATTATTGCTTTTGTTAACCTTTATGAGTAACCAGGCTACACTTCCGACAGACAAGCCAGACTTTCTCATCGTGTACACTTATGGGTATCATTAATGGAACTTTGAACTCTACCAACTAAACAACGAAAGGCAGGTTTTCCTCTCCACAGGTTTAAGGTTGGTCACTGCTGACACAGGGCCATCCTTTACTGAGGATTCACAATCTGCTGTCACCTTGCCATTCAGCTTTTCTAATCACCTGATCCAGGGTGGATCAGATCGAATCGCTAAGCCAAGGACCAGAATGTTTACCAAACTTGTGGAGATGGATGGGCAACATCATACGAATACAATCAAAAGCACACAAAACGTTCAGACAAAGACTTCAGATCATTCAGATCATGGAGTCCTGTAGCCTATCGATTAGAGCACTCGCCTCGCAAGCGAGAGGACCCGGACAGGGCAAAACCGTAAGCAAGTTTCCTTACTCCACGCGCCTCTGTTTACCCAGTTGCTGGAGGATCGCTTTCCGGGGGTAATAATCCCTCCAAAATAAAAATAGTACTAATTTGGTCACTCAAACCACCACTGTTTGTGGGGACACTGCTGTGCGCAATTGGCTGCCACATTTTGCCCACAAAATACAGTCAATTCACTTTACAGTCTATTCTGTGAAGCGCTTTGAGACGACGCGAGATGTGATAAGGCGCCATTTCAAATCCAAGGATTATTATATAGATTATTATTATAATCAAAATCATACAAAAAGTTCAGGCAAAGACTTCTGAACATTTGCACTCACTCCTTGCACATTTCACGTATTCGCGGATTTCAGTGGAGCCGAAGGTCTCGTAAAACCGAGCGGAATTGAGTGATTTTAAACTCAAAACGGTATCATATTTAAAAAGAAGTAACTTTCCAGAAAGTTCTCCAAAACATTTTAAACACCGAAATCTTTTCCAAAATGAACGTCGAGCCCGAATTTCAACAAGAGCTCCTTTTCCTGAGAGAAAAGCTCCCTCCTCCAGCCTTTCAATATGTTTAGCATCATCTCCCTTCACTGGGCAAATGAACAGGAATAATATGCACGTGCTACTAACACAAAGCAGTGCTTCCGTAACAAGTCTTTTCCAACAATTTATGGATCATCAACGGGGGGAAAAAAAAACAAGTTTAAAAAAAATGAAAGAATGCAATGAAACAAACTGACAAAGCAGACTTCTACTTCCTACCGATTTCTGAAGTCTCTTTAATATGGGCCTGATACAAATTAACTTCAATGGGCACTACAAAAAAAAAGTCATCTGGTCGTAAAATACAGTACATGGTCAGTTTTATGTAAGTTTGCCAAAAGGGATGCAAACCAGGACAATCTCAAACTGCGACACAGGATTGAAGTGTATTAAAAATCTTTTTTTCTCATCCATTGTGCTGTCTTTTTGCTCAGGTTTATAGACATTTTGAGCACCAATATTGGCCTCTTCACTTCCATCTGGTGGATCTAATTAATTAGTCAAGGAAATCACTGCAATTTTCATACTGCTCTCTTTATTAATAGACTTTTTTAAGCGTTTCAGTTAAGACTCTCAAACTCACAGCTGCTACATTTGAGTTCAATGTTTTGTAATGTCTGGATAATTGGGATAATTGGTTAGGATGCTGATGTCATTTGACTGTTTTAGATGAACATGTGGATAATATCACTCTCAGATTATTTTCACAGGTTTGTATCAGCAAAATGTCATGACACAGACACTCGTTTCTGTATGTGGTTAGGCTTCAGATTTTATTTTGGATTTCTCACTAGGCGGATAACTGCTGCACTCTGTCAATACTTTTAAAACAAGAAATTTTAATATATCATTTATTCGGGAGAGAGTCTGCAGGACGGGTCACCGTTAAGAGTCAAGAACAAGAATGAAAGGCCTAATCCTTACACCGTGCCAACAACCGACTCAATCAGGATCGCAATGTTCCTCACTTTCATTCCGTCTCCGAGGTGTCTTTAACACCCGACCAAATAAAAACATCAAAGCTTTACTTGAACGGCAAAGGATTTTTTGAAATTTCAGAAGCATTGACTATGAAGTAGCGTAGAGTCTACATACAGGACAGCTCAACACCTCAGTTCATTTTAAAAGCCGTCTGTTGAAATACAACCTGACGTCTGGTTTATACAATCATAACTTCTGCCTGATCACAAACCAAGACAGACGAGGAGAGTCCAGGTCACACAAGATCCAGATGACATTTTAAATTCTAACCTCAAATAGCGTTCGGCTTGTACAACAGTAATTATGACCCCAATATAAGCTCCTACTGTGCAAATAGAGGAAGAAAAAGCAGAGCTGAACAGTTACAAGAGTTACTCATTACTGTGACACAAATCTTATAACACAGTCAAATAGCTTTTTTTTTTAAAAAAAACTTTTTGCAGGCATCATTTCTATGGTGTGCGTTTTTAAAAAAAACACGTCATTAATAACGGCAGTCATAGACGTTAAGCCCAATTAAAGAACAAGGAACGATCCACCAACAGTCCATTTATAATCTGTCCTCAAGTGAGCAAGGAGAAAACTAGGATAGTTTTAAAATCACTTAACTCCTCCCCTCAACGTTTTGACCTTATATATTTTTCTACACCAGCATATCTGATTTTGTTTCGTCTTTTCTTCGGAAGTGAAGAGATAATATTGCTTAAGATCATTTAATTTATCCCCAGGTTCTCCCCACCCTACACCACTGCTCTTGTTGAAAGGAAAGATCGAAGACCTCAATGAAAATGTGCCCGATTGTAAAATAGTCCAGGGAGGTTTACATTCATTTTAAAAGCCGTTTTAAAGGGGTCCAGGGAATTAAATATTTTGTTTTGCCCACAAAACATGGTCAATTAACTTTACAGAAAACCCTGGGATGCTCTTTTGAGACGTCTCGCAGACGTGATGAGGCGCTATATCAAATGCAAAGATTATTATTCTCATTTTCCATCCCTTTTGGATATATGGGAGGGAGGAAAATACCAAAGGTGCAGTCAGAGAGGAACATCTTGAGCCAGTGAGCAGCAAGTTGACACAGTTAAGCCTGGACATGATGAATGCATGGATTCGGGCTTTGGCAGCCCAAGACTAGAGGTAGGAATGTTACGCAGTTGGAGGAAAGCTGAGTAGTTCAGAGCACGGAAGTGAGAGTCACACAAGACACCATGGTTTCCCACTGGCCCTGCGAGGTGGAGAGGGCATCCATGAAGATAGACGCTGTCAGCGCTTGAGGAGAGTAGGCGCTGATGGGAGTCAAGCGGTGGTGGGTGGGGGGTTCTGTCTTGTTGATGTTCAACTGGAGAAAGCTAACAACTATCGAGGATTAAGGTTGGAGGCAGATATAACTGTGTGTAAACATACAAGAAAATATGAATGCACCTAGTAAATAAGAAATGGGGAATTAATTTGCCCACATTAATAGTCAAGTAAGCTACTTATTCCTCTGTCTAAAAACCCATCCCGATACACGTCCACAAGTCAAACATGTAATACAAACAGGGGACTCGATGTCCTTATATACGATGACTTAACTCAGCCTACAACTTTTAAAGGGCAACCAAATTCATAACGCAAGGCTAAAAAAAAAAACTTTGTTAATAAGCTATATGTATGCATGAGATATTAAATTCTTCCTTTTGTCAGCAAGGTTAATTAAACGTCCGTGCACTCAGTAATGTAGGTCATTCCTTCCAATCCCCTGGTAGTGTTTTGAAACATGGACATTGAAAAAGCAGGAAGGGAGCGAGATTTAGTGCGTGTGGCTCCCCAATACCAACTGTGCTTCCCCATCAGAAGTGTGCAACAAGCATATTCAACATTAGAAAACCGAGAATCTTACCCTTCAGTAACAGATACAGCTATTTAATCCATTGGTTTCCTCAACTAACACTGGGACTGAAGGCTACAAAACAAAACAAGTGAGCTACTTAGGGAAAGAATTAAAGAAAACCTCTCGTTATAACGCGGTGACGTCACGTTCATATAACGCGTTAGGGAACAAAGACTAGCCATACAATGCTATAAACCAAATACGAGGGAATCCTGAAGTGAAGACTACCAAAAGGCATCTGAATAAAAACAGGATTGTAATCCATAGAATCATGGGCAGTAACAGCAGCCCCTGCCGGGAAGCGAAGAGCAACAAGCACACTGACCAACAACAACAACAGCTTACATTTGTATAGCGCCTTTCACGTCAGGAGGAGCTGCCCTCAACTGAATAGCCAACTTCTGACCAGAACTCAAAATATCTATTCATCCAATTTACAGAGAAGAGTTCATCAGTTTTGGTGAAGCGAAAAATAGCACAACCCTCGAACGTTCAAGTAACACCCATATACATCTCTCCATCTCCAAACCATTTTTTTTTTACTCAATTTTTTCTGGGGGATATCAAAACAGAGGGTTCCTTTTCGATACGACTTTCTCCAGTTAAAAGTTACATTGCTTCGAATTAAAACTTTTAAAGAGTTAAGCACATTGAAAGCTAAACAGTAAAAATAAATGTTTTAGCACCAAATGGCTAGAGATCACATTTGATCACTTGACATGACTAGACATAGAGGGGAGAGCTTTACTTTTTAATAAAGATTGCCATGATTTGCATCTGTTTTTACAAAAATCATCCAAAATACATATGTACCTTTTTTGATCCGGCAAATCCTTCTGACTCCAGGAAAAAATAGGCGAAAGGCATCAGCACAAATAATGAGAGGTTGGAGAAGAGGGATACAAGATTCCATAGTCCTAAAATGATAAATTCCAAAATCAGAAAACAAAATGCATAAATGGAAGCAAAAATAGCACAAATTGAACCTGTGACATATTTTTACATTAAAGTAATCTCCAAATTAACCTCCACAAATGGACTAAACTTTCTTTTCAAAGTGATGCAAGCGAACAAGCGAGATTAGAAAACTTGACAATAAACGAAAATATAATGAAAGAATAAAACAAAGTGAAATTCAACAGCATCTCACATATTTACTTCATTTGTTAAAGCAATAAAATGCTTCTTAGTATTAAGGGTGTCCAATTCTGTACAGAAGAGGAATAACATTTCAAGAGATTAACCCAATGCTAATTTCAAGGAACACAAACACATTCTTTAGAAGCAAGCTTAAGCACAACAACTTAGAGTTGACAATTTGTGCCCCTTTCAGACATATGTTTAACTAGCACACCACATATTCCTGGCAATGATACTCTGGCCTACCGCATATAAAGGAAATTCCACGGTCACGCTTTATAGTATTTACGTGTAGGATCATTCCCATTCACTTAGTTTGAAAAAATACTGCTGTGAAATTCCTACTTGCCCATAAATGGGTAAGAGTGGAATTGAGCCAGAGAAAGACACATAATTGGTCTCAGAAGTCATTCCAAATAGTCTTGCTGCTGGAAATTATATAAATATAAATAATAATAATAGTGAGTGACCACATTATATTTATTTTGAAGGAATTATTATGCCCGGAAAAGCGATCCACCAACTAACATTGACTAAAAACTGTGTTCCTAGTTACTGCTAGGTAAGCAGAGGCGTGTGTGTGGAGTAAAGAAACATGGCCAACGTTTCGCCCTGTCTGGGAATCAAACTCAGGTCCTCTCGCTTGCCAGGCGAGAGCTCTAACCACTAAAGGACTCCACATATAAGGGCAATACCTCCACTAACGTAGCAGCCCCCCAACACGACCGGTTGGGAGAATGTCTCGAGGTGCTGGGACATCACTCAAAACAATCTTGTTCTGCTTATTAAGCACAACTGTTGTAAAGGGGAAAAAATGGTGCTCTTGAAATAAAATAGTTATCAGCGTTTGAAAACACCAGGACCAGTAATGGCCTTTTTGGGGGTCACTCAGCCAGGTGAAAGTCTTGGCATCACCAGCTGTATCGAGAGAGCTCAGATACATACTGCAGTCAGGTTTCGAGTTGCTGTTTTAAGAATGCTCAATCTCTCTGCAGGTAGAGACACCTCAACAAACACAGGAAGGGGCAAGTCACAAAGGGCAGAAGTGGAATTGATCATTGAAAAGGACTACACTGGCTCAGTTTTACCATCTGCTCCAGCACAACTTCAACTTGCAACTAAACACAGAGGTCTTTTTGCAGAATGTTTCGAATTACCCATTGCAGTAACTGAGCCTCCTCAAAAACACCCCGTTTTAGCTCAAGTGAAATTGGCCAAACCTGTATCGCGTTTGCTAAGATTTAGAATAATGTCAGATAATCTTTGTTTTATTTCCCTTAAGAAGATTACATTCTAAACCAAGAAAATCTCACAGGAAAACTGCAATAACACTGCCGTCCGTCACTGGGCTGTACAGAACTCATCTGCAGAACATTACTCAAAAGCTTTGTCCTGCTTATAAAGCATTGACCCATGTGAGGGAAAAAAAATTAAATCCTTAATACAGCTACTGTGGAGATTACATAAATGTTATACCATTTAGTTCCATTTGCTAGTTCAAGTAATTCAGTGAAATTCATGATATAAATCAGCATGTTTGGACATAAAATGACTGGGCTTATAACAACTCATATTTATATAGTCCCCTTCATGTAAAAACGTCCCAAAAAGCTTGATATATGTTGCAGTGCAAACCAGGCAGAAGAACAGCAATTCAAAGATGTTAACCTAAGGTACAGTTAGATAAAATGGCTTTTTAGATTTTTGATTGCAAGTAGAAAGCGCAGGGCAAAATGGTTCTGTGAGCAAATTCCAGAGAATAGCGACCTGCTGGCTGAGAGCTCAGCTACAGAGATGGCGAAGAGAATGTGGAATACGCAATGAACCAGAAGGGCTCAAGCGTACGGTGTGGCAATGACAACGAAGGTTTGTGGAGTCCTGGAGCGTATTGGTTTGAGTTCTCACAGGCGAGAGGACCCGGGTTCAATTCCCGGGCAGGACAAAATTTTAGAGAAGTTTCCTTACTCCACACACCTCAGTGCTATATCAAATGCAACGATTATTATTATTATTTGCTATGACAACAACTTGCATTATACAGTACACACTTTACAGTGTATTCTGTGAAGCGCTTTGAGACATCTCAAAGACGTGATCAGGCGATTATTAATGTTACTATTAAAACAAAATTAATTATTAACAAGTCCTTGTGATACTTACAGGCAACATGATTTTATTTTAAGCTGTGGTGTAACTTACAACTAAATGTTCTCTGGTTGCCCCTTCACTGAATCACAACCTGCAATTTACAAGTATCTGGACTCTTGTATGTTTTGAATAAATCTCTAAGATGCTGGCAATAACTATTAAATTTTCCTTGTGCAAACATAATTATGATAATAATAATCCTTGCATTTGATACAGCGCCTTATCACGTCTTCGAGACGTCTCAAAGCGCTTCACAGAATACACTGTAAAGTGTACACTGTATATTTTGTGGGCAAAACACAGCTGCCAATTGTGCCCAGCAGCATAAAATGTACTACTTTAGTCATATTTTATAGACAAATATAAAATCTCATTGTCGGATTTTCACAACAGCAAAAGATATAGCATTTACGTATCAGGGGTAATGGGGGTATCGATCAACTAAAACTGTCAAGTTAAAGGGAAGAAGAGACGAGCCATCTGCAGCTTTTGGCACGCAATTTATCAGCCATCAGAAAAGCTGGCTGGAGGTATTGTACCCTAGCGCCACCTGCCGGTGTTTTGGGGGTAACTAACTACAGTATAACATTGCACCATTCTTAGTGACTTCTCCAAATGTCATGTCACATTCCAATATTCAAGCAAAACCAGGTTAGTTCTGGGCCTTATAATCTAACCTGCACTTCTAAACTAAAATATATTCTAAAACATAGATACGCTCGGGCAAATCAAAGCAGGCGTTTTAATTTGACACCAAATCGACATGTCCAGAACTCATCAAATAAATAAGACAGCACAATCTTTTTCAATGAACGGCTTATTAGTTTTGAATCATTAAACTCTCCAAATTTAAACAGTGACCATGAACTTGGCCCGGAAGTAAATTTGTAAAGTGCCCTTTTACTGTGTACAGTAAAGTAGCGGAAGGGAAGAAAAAAGTCAAAATCTCTCAAGGGTAAAATCCTGAGGACCGCATTACTTTGAACCAGCAAGTTTGGGCTAAAAGGGTTTTAATTAATAAAGAAAAAAAGTACCTAAAATGTCAATGATCTTCAAAAGGAATAAGCATCAGATGCTTTATATTTGGGGAGGAAGATGTCAAGACAGCTGTGCCATTTTCATCAGAATGCAATGACAAGATGCCTTAACATGGTCACTATTTTTGAAAAAAAAAGTCCACTGAACAGCTTTTATCTCTGTGACTGCACACTTTAAAAGGCTCAAATTCAACATTATCTTTTCAGATTGAATATGCCACATTGAACTCCACCTTAATATGGGTTGAATTGGGAAGCCTTAAAAGTGAGGAGTTCTAACCCCATTAATTGGTTGGGGATTCATAGATTAATTATTATTAACAACAGAATAATAACCGATCCTATTAATCAATTGGTTGTCAATAGGTAGATAGATTCCGGGGATTGTAAAAAAAAATTTTTTTTAAATAAAATACAATTTTGGTAACTCGATCCAGTACTGTTTGTGGGTCACTGCTGTGCACAATTGGCTGCTGCTCCTTGCCCACAAAATACATTCACTTTATAGTACGTTCTGTGAAGCGCTTTGAGACGTCTCAACGATGTGATAAAGCGCTATATCAAATGCAAGGATTATTATTAATATTTACTTGAGACTGCATCAATTGTAAGCAGCAAAGTTTGTTTACAGGTCTTGTTATCTTATAACAAAATAGGAACCTCAGAGCTATCAAAGCAAAAGGGTTACAGGACTGTAATAAATATGGAACAGAGAAACAAATGCATTTTTCAACAATATCTAAAAATCTAAAACCAATTCTCTGTGGCGGAGCTGTAAACTGAGAACCAAATCAATAGAGAAATGTCAAGTCCCAATGCTTTACCATTTAAAAAGAAAGCTTTGCAAATTCTTGTTTGAGCCACAAGATGGCGGGGCTGCACATAGCTCTGTTCCAAAGCAACTAGCAATGTACCAAAAGACTTCCAAGAGATTAATAATAATCCTTGCGTTTGATATAGTGCTTTTCACATCTTCCAGACGACTCAAAGCGCTTCACAGGCTTTTCTGTAAAGTGAATTGACTGTATATTTTTCGGGTGAAACGCGGCAGCCAATTGCGCACAGCAGCGTCCCCCACAAACGGTGGAAGGTAAGGAAGATAGAGCACTTGTGCAGCTCACCCAGGCTCCTGCCTGCATTGTATGAGCGTTCAGGCAGAAAGATGGAAATCAAATGATTGCAGACTCAGTGGAAGACACCTCAAGGCATCGAACGATGGACAAAATATTTTAATTTCAAAAACTCTCATATGCATCCGTAAAGGAAACCAGATGATTAAAAACAAGTCAATCTGTCTCATTGGCTTTACGAATGCTGCAGCCTTGACTTTCGTTTATCATCCATTCTAAGAAACACAAGGCAAAAAACTATACCAACCATGAATTAATGAACCATTCAACCACTGGATGTAGTAGTTTTGTGGGAAAGAAAGCAGGATCTCATTGCTGATGATTGAAAACGGCAACAGCAGAACTGCACCAGTGGACACAGCCAATGTAAATGTGCACAAATACATCCTGAAAACAACAACAAATAATTATTAAAAAGGGAACAATTAAAGGCATTTGTTTTAATATAAAGTCAAAACGGTTTTTAAAAACCACAACAAACCACATAACCACCTCCACTGAAAAATATTGAATCAGCTTATTGTGTCCTGGCCAACAATCCCCCAAATAAAATTGGTCACTCACTCCATGACTGTCTGTGGGACACTACTGTGTGAAACTGGCTGCTGCATTTCGCCCATAAAATACAGTCAATAAACTTTACAGAGTATCCTGTGAAGCGCTCTGAGGCGTTTCAACAACGTGACAAAACACTATATCAAACGCAAGGATTATTATCATTATTATTAAATTATCCCTAAGCTGCTCTGAGTTATTTGGGCAGCCCTGAACGACATTACAATTAGCTTATTGTCCCGAAATGAAAGGATTACAATGCGTTGATTTCATGATCAAGGTCAGCTGTGATGGTGTCTCTGCCCTTTCTTCCCCCCTTAAATCACATTTAGGGGCTGAGGTGGGTATAGCATTTGTTATTGAGCAAAGACTGAAAATTGAAACTGGAATCCTCTCCATACACCCACAAAGCTCAGCTGCTCACTGAATTGTGGAGTCCTGTAGCTCAGTGGTTAGAGCATTCACCTCACAAGCGAGGGGACCTCGGTTTGATTCCCGCGTGGGGTGAAATATTAGGCAACTCTCCTTATTCAATACGCCTCTGTTTAGCTGCAGTAAATTGGAACCCGGTTGTTAGTCGATTGGCAGATTGCTTTATGGGGGTATAATGATGCTTTCAAAAATTAATTTAAAAAATAATAATTTTGTCACTCAATCTATGACTGTGGGGCACTGTTGTGCGCAATTGACTGCCGGGTTTCGCCCACAAAATATAGTCAATTCATTTTACTTCAGTTCTGACGAAGGGACCCACAATGTTGACTCACTTTCCTTTTTCCATAGATGCTGCCTGACCTGCTGAGTGTTCCCAGCCACTTCTGCTTTTGTTTTCAGATTTCCAGCATTTGCAGTGTTTTGTGTGTTTTTTTCACTTTACCATATGTTCTAGGAAGCGCTTTGAGAAGTCTCAACAACGTGATAAGGCAAATGCAAAGATTATTATTATTATAAACTAGTTGAGCCTTTTGCGAGTTCGTCTTACTGATTTTAGTCCTAGGTTAAACACTGATTCGCAAACATTTATTTTCACATCAATGAACTACAAGAACTGCAAAGTGATAGCAACAACACAGATATGTACTCTTTTTCTCCAGCTCGCCTCTATTTTTCCCCCCTCCCTCAACTTTAAATACTCCACTGTTGAAGCACATTAATTGTGAATGTCCTGGTGGAAATAAAATCTTCCCCTTTACCAGACTGTGCCAAGCGAAGCATAAACCATTAATTATGCTTTTATTACTTTGGGAATCCAGGAGTTTGGGAAAAAATATCTTCCATCATTAACTGCATCAACAATTATTAAAAAAAAGGATTTAGGTGACTTTTTAACTTGGACAGAAAAGTATTTCAAAGACGTGAGACACATTAACGAACATCATCTAATCAGTTTAATTGATAAGAGATCTCTCGATATTAATTTAATTATTACTCAGGATCATCTGCCTTTCTTTCCCTTTCACCTTTGTATTACCAGAGGCTCCTGCGACATGCAGCTGGAAATGTGTTTTCCCAGAGGGTCACATTATCAAATTATTTTGAAGTCTTCGTAGGTTTCTGTGCATTGAAGTACTCTGTTTAAAAACTTGACTGCCGTGTTTTACCCACACAATAAACTCAATTCACTTTACAATATATTCTGTGAAGCGCTTTTAGACATCTCAGATGTGATATCAAATGCAAGATTTATTATTGTTGTATTATTGATTGGCAAAACATTGTGTGGAAATTTAAGGATCTTTCTAACATCTACAAGACAACTTCTGCATTTTATTCCAAGTTCTTAAGTTTACATGTAAAAATGTAGTAAGATTAGAGATATTGAGCTTGCAACTATTCGTTTCCATAAAATGTGCATTCCTGCAGCACCATAAAATAGCTTCAACCACAGCTATGGTGCAGTGGGTACATCTCTGCTCTTGCCCAGTTGAAAATATAATGTAGTAGTTTGGAAGGTGAGGGAAGCAAGATTTTAAACTGTAAGTGGACAAACAAGTGTATTTAAATAATAATTATCCTTGCATTTGATATAACTCCTTATGGCGCCTTTGATACATCTCAAAGCTCTTTACAGAATACACTGTGAAGTGAAGTGAACTGACTGTATATTTTGTGAGCGAAGCGTGGCAGCCAATTGCATACAGAGGCATCCCCACAAACAGTCGTGGATTGAAATACGTACGAAATTCTGTTCACGATGGCATCTTCATCTTCATGATCATCTGCAAAGGAAGAAAACAAAAGTCACTAAAATGCATCCGAACTGGACCACAAGCGGATTGTGCACATTGATTATATCTGCATGAAGTGAGCAATTACAGGAAAACCCAGAACGTGTCCTGAACCACGACGGCGTGTTCTCAAGTACAGAACGTGACAGTCGAGCAGTGGACAACACAAGAGCAGCCGGGCAGCTTTCTGCAGACATGGACACTGACATTACTGGATGTGATAAAAAGGCAAGCCTGTGAGCAACAGCCTTTCCTGTTTTACAGCAATAAATTGTGACGGCTTTTAAATAAAATTCATGTCCAGTAATTGCAACATGCAACATGAATGTGAAATTGAACCCATTCTCTTTTGTTACTTGGACATCTTTTGCCTCAGTTAGATGTGCAGTTTTAACTTTGACATTCAATTTGTTATACATCTGCCTATTTGGATGCTCCTGTCACATTGATGTTTTACATGAAAAACTAGTTGAGAGGCAGAAACTATATTGCACTGCAGTGTCGCTGTTCCTTGTTCTGTCCTGCACCAACGCCTTGAAAATTGATGGCATGTCACAGCTCCATTGGAAATGAAATCTAATATAATAAAATTATGAGGCTGCTGATAAAGTTAAACGGTTATAAATTTAATAATAAAACATTGTTAAGTACATCATTAAATATATAGTTGCCAGACTTTTTTTATTTTTAACCTATTGAGGTATTTCGAGACTTTGAGGACAGATCTAAGAGGAAAGGTTGCCTGTTCTTGAATGAACAGAGAAGACTGGTAAAAAATGACCACAATATGATTGAATTGTGATAAGAGAAACAGAGACTCTCACAACTTTAGGGGTAAATATTAAGGGAATGTAAAAGGGAGACTGGATTGGATTGTTAAAAGGGAGGATTCCAGAAGAAATATGGAATTTTTTTTTTTAAAAATCACAACTTTGAAATCAAAGGCTGTGCCACGAGGAATCCACCAGAGAAAAAAATAATCTGGGCGACAAGGTAGTGAGTAAGAACAAAAGAGAATTTCTAGGATAAGTGAGATTTTGAGAATACATTTTTTCAAATCAACAGATGACTGAGTAGCTAAAGACATTAAAGACTGGTGGATTGCTTTTCCAGGGGTAATAATTCCTTCAAAAAAATAATAATTTGGTCACTCTATTTCTGTCTTCAAGACGTTTCAAAGCACTTTACAGAATATACTCTGAAGTGAATTGACTGTATATTTTGTGGGTGAAACACGGCAGCTAATTAAGCACAGCAGCATCCCCACAAACAGGCCGACCGGATTAAAACGATCAGTGGGTAAAAAGTGCCGACGTGCACTGATAAGCCTCAAGTGTGAAACGTTGCAACCCTTCCCCAAATTCACTCGTTGCCTTTTTGAAATAAAACAGTGTGGTGACTCAACATGGGCGCAATGGGAGTCTCATAATTGTCAGCAAACCTTCCTTCCATAGAACTGTATATACTTAACAAGATTTATATACATTTGTCACTGCTGCTGTACACTGTGCTAATGCTTTATTTAATTACCAAACTTGAATCTTTGACTTAGCTGATTAATGTACGTGTCTCTCATGTAATTATATTTGCCTTTTTTAGTACCGAAAAGTATTTCTTCACATGTCTGAGCTCTAAGTGAGATTACTAATTCTGTGGCAATTAGTGTCAAAGTATGGCCATTTTTTGTGAAGTGGAATCACTTCTGTGAGTACTATTACCAGGGTGGAGATTGCTAAATGCATTCGATTTACACCTAATCATTCCAGGTAGATTGAATTCTAAGGTGAAAGAACATTCTTATAAAACAGTAATCTGAATTGTATCAACCCATACCAGTGAATGCAATGCCCAATGCCAATTTAGCACATTATTCGTATTATTAATAAAAATACTTTCAGTTATTACTTGGAAACCTAGTAAAGGGGGTTCTTTTTGAAACTTGCTGTATACTTCTGAAGCATTAAGCTTCATTGTGACAAAGAAAACAGTCGGAGATTCAGCAGATTTTTACATGAATTAGCTACTAAAACTATATGCATTTCCTGCATAGATTTTCCTTTCATGCTACAAATTAATAAACAAAGCTTTCACAGAAGAACAACAGATAAATAAATGTTACTTGGGAGGAAAAACTAAGCGCATTTTTTACAAGTGTAAAATTTAAGGAAAGTTAATACTTGGATGGTCCATGAATGGAAATAATTTATAAAACATTTTTTAATTATACCAGAAAACAAAAACATCCCTAAAGTGAATCAAACTATTCCTTCAGGATGCAAGAATGAACTGAAATGGAAGAGTGAAGTTACCAAGGGAAGCTATAGAGGAACAAGCTTGTTATGCGTTCCGCAGTTTGCAGCCTTGTGTGCAATTCATTATAACCCCTTGGGCAACCAATATAGTTTTGACAAGAGACATTACCAAATTAAGGAGAGAATAAACTGGGCATCATTAACAATAAGGGCACAGAACTATATAGACAATATTTATTCTTCAAAATCATTTTCAAAGAAATGTTATTGGCAGGATTCCAAATGCAGGTTAAAACTAATTACATTATACGGAAATGTCATTTTTCTGTATCATGCTTCATTTCATAAGAAAAAAAGAACCACAATTCAAATTAAAGGTGATTTCTATAGTTTTTTTGTGATTATTGATCTAATAGACATTTGTTTGGTTAGATGCAGCACTAATTATAAAATAACTAGATAAGCGAGATTGAGTATATAAACTTAGCCTCTGGAGAGTAAAGTAAATTAGGTTTTCTTTGGGCTGAGTTTGCCTCTTCACTATTTGCAAAACACTTTAATATATCATGTGTGCTTATAATAATACGTGCAATTTGATATAGCACATTATCACATCGTCGAGACGTGTCAAAGTGATTCACAGAATATATTATAAAGTGGATGGACTGTATATTTTGTGGGCAAAACGCAGCAGCCAACTGCGTACAGCAGCGTCCCACAAACAGTTTTGGATTGAATGACTTTTTTTTGGTAAGATCATTACCCTGGAAAGCGATCCGCCAAATGACAAACAACCGTGTTCCTACTTACTCCCAAGGTAAACAGCGGCATTTGGAGTAATGAAACTTGCCTAAAGTTTTGTACCATCCGGGAATCAAACCCAGGTCCTCACTTGCTTCCTTAGCCTCCTTCAAGTCCCACCTCAAAACCCTCCTCTTCGACCATACCATCAGCCACCCCTCCTCCCCTCCCCTCTCCCCCCCCGACCCCAGCTCGGGTCTGAAATGCTGTCACTGTCCAGCGCCTTGGGACATCCTACTGACGTGAAAGGCGCTATACAAATGTAATCTTGTTGTTGTTGCGAGGCGAGCGGGCTAACCACTAAACTTGCTCCAGGACTTGCTTTGCATAACATAAGGGAGCGTTTATATCTATTTGCCGAGTAGTGGTACTGCTTACAATCAGCCGTGGATTACTTCAAAGCAGTTCCAGCCGGAGCTTAGCAGATGGCTCAGAAACAGACCACTCAGCCCATCTCGTCTGGCTGGTGTTCAGACTCCACACGAGTGTCTGTCCCAGATCTTATTCCGATTCCCTTTTCTCCCATACGCCTCAACTTCATTCTCCCTTAACCTCGTGTACAGTCTTTTTTTGGAATGTTGTCACGCATGTTCGGTGAAACAATGCCTAAAGGTGACTGACAACCTAAACTGATGAGCAAAAGAATGAGTATTGTGCTTCTGCCTCTTCCCTCCCTCTTTTCTGAAGAAGCACCACATCCCGGTGTATAGCTCCATACACGAATCTCTTGGGGCAATGCCAAATACCCTACCACGTGTCAATCCAATGTCTAATGGCCATTTCTTGCATATGGATATCAGCGGATTTTTTGGCTGAAGGACATCACAGCCAAGAAGACTGCTTAATATATTCTTTCTTAGGCAGGCACACTGCCAATTATAGAGCCCTCATTGTTGGCCTCGCTGAGATCATATACCTCAGGAGAAATCTGGAACCTTGTGCATGACTCACTTTCATAATTGTCAATTTCAATCAACTGAAAAATCAAGAGAAATGTGCAAAAGGATTTTGACGTGGATAAACACAGAGTGATAGATTATTGGGATGAGAAACGACAAACCAATGACAAAAGTCCATCAGAAGAGGCAGAAGAAGAAAAGGATTCGGGTGATCATTCATTTGGAAACATACAATCAATGAAAAGCTGTTGTCAAACAACCTGTTGGTATTTAGAACAGTGATTGATGCACTGAAAACCTCTGAGAACAAATAAGCACGAATCCAGGATTTGAATTCCAGGAAGAAGTTCACAAAATGCAGGTTTGTTTAAATTGGAGATCAGATTGAAAGTGTACATCATTCAAGTCCAAGTATGTTGTGTGTAAGCAAATTTACTTCACAACTTCAAAGCAGTAGGTATAAAGTCAAGACTTAGTACATGCAATTGGCTGCCGCATTTCATCCACAAAATATAGTCAATTCACTTTACATTATATTCTGTGAAGCGCTTTGGGACGTCCTCCCGACGTGAAAAGCGCTATATCAAATGCAAGGATTATTATTATTATTATTATTCTGTGAAGCGCTTTGAGACGCATCTACTTAGGGGTTTTAAAACAATGTCAATGATACTTAAACAAAAGACAAAATACTGCAGAAATTGATGCTTACTCATTTTGTAAAAGGCTTAGTATTATTGCAATGCTCCACTGAAGTTAAACATTGATTTTATTCTGCTTGCCATGCCTCAGTAGTATGTTATTACCATATAGAGTTTAGTTTAAATAACTATGCAAAACACGCTTGGCTTCTGACTTCACACAGACCCTTCTGTCATGGCAATCCATAAGATTGCCTGGCAGATTTGTGATATTAATATGCAAGTTTTCACGGAGCAAAGGGTAATAATAATCCTTGCATTTGAGACGTCTTAAAGCGCTTCATAGAGTATGCTGTCAAGTGAATTGAATGTAAATTTTGTGGGCGAATCAGGCAGCCAATTGCACACGGCAGTGACCCACATACACTCATGGATTGAGGTGACCAATTTTTTTTTGAGGAATTATTTTCCCGGAAAAGTGATCCGCCAATCAACTAATAACCGAGTTCCTGCTTACTGCTCGGTAAAGAGCTGCGTGTGGAGTAAGGAAACTTGCCCAACATTTCGGCCTGCTGGGAATCGAATCTCGGTTTCTCACTTGCAAGGCGAGTGCTCTAACCACTGAGCTACTAGACTCCACAGTCCTGCAAGTTGCGATATTGCAAGTTGATAAACTGATCTCAACTGCAGAAAACTCCTCCCTCCATGGGCTCAGCAACTTATCTGGAGTGGCTGAAGAGCAATAGGTCCTCCCAAGCCACAAGGAGCGCTAGCAGAGGTTGGGCGCACATGCTCAGATGCATAAACCACTGGTCTATGGAGGTCCATCATAGGCTCCCGCCCTACCCATTTGCAGAGGCCTCACGTACCCAATCCTGTTACATTAATAGTATGTGCAGCACTTACAGATAACCAAAAACCTTGCATTCCAACTTCAACCGGACCCTTCCCAATAGACCAGAGGCCTCGGCAATGCATCTGAGCATGTGACCCAACCTCCACCGAGCACCCGCGCCAGTCACAGGATAGGGTGAGAGGCCTCTGCCAAGCAAGGCGCCCCCTTATAGGACTAGTTAGTTATCAGATCAATTGCACACCGTAAGTACTGGGTCTTAAAAATAATTTCTAGAACATAACGAGTTCCGTATTAAGTGGAATGAAGGGTAAAGCGAGTTCCCCCGTTACCATTTTACACGGGGAGCTGCTAGGATAGTCAGTTGAGTTAAGTAAAGCCAGAATCTTACGCAGTTTCCTGTACGTGTGACAAGGTTTAAAATGCAGATAATAAGTATCTGTAATTACCAATTTCTGCCAATGAGTGGCTCCACAGCAACACCTACAGGTGGAAACTGGGTACTGCAGCCAACAACCCAACAGTCAACACTTGCATTGACCACTCACTGACTCACTGACTCACTGACTGGACTGAAGTCTGGTCAACTGTTGCCTATAACGTGTATTTGTAAACATTCCAGTCATGCAATTTTATTTATGGAGTAAGTTATCAACTTATAAGGTATTCACAAGAGGAGCAAAAGGAGAGCTTAGGCAAATATTTTCACTCAGTTGTTGGGCTACCATTGCCTCGTGTATAGATAGTATATATATCTATTTATAGATTGTATATATATATATAGTATAGTATAGATGTGACAAAAGGGCACAGTTTCAATGTCTAAAGACACTTCAGTTGTAAATGTTCCTGTTGCAACTTCAGCAATCATCGTCCCAAATTTTTCCATGAACCTTTATAACCTTGCCATTTTAAGAAAGCAATTTCTGTATCCCGTGACAATGCAGGTGTGTGCTAATGAACAGCATTACTAACCTGTTTTTCTCTTGTATCTGGTGATAATGAAGTAGGAAACTGTATAAAGAACAGCAAACAAAAGGAAACAAATCTGAAAAAGGAGAAAACAGAACTGCATTAAATAACCATTTTCTCAAGCAGTTACCGGCAATTCCTTTGTGCGAAACGTCAGAGTTCAAAATGATCGAAATGTTAATGCTCCAAATTAAATCAACGACAACTTGCTGATTTATATGTACAATTTATATAATGCCCTTCACGCCGGACGGCATCTCGCAGCTCATAACAGTGGCAGAGCCCAATTCCAACCCAGGGGGAGGGGGAAAGTGACCGTAGGCACGGTCGAAGAGGAAGGTCTTCAAGTGCGACCTGAAAATGGGGAGAGGGATTGAGGGAGGGAGATTTCCACGCTTCGAGGTGAAGTGATTGAAAGCATGGCTGCCGATATCTGGGTGGAGGGTCCTTGGGGACAAGGAAGAGACCAGAGCCAGTCGAGCAGAGGCAATGGGTAGTGGTATAGGAAGAGAGGTTGGAGAGATTGGGGTGGGGGAGAGGCCAGGCTGTGAAGGGATATAAATACAAGAGTGATTATCTTGAAATAGATGCGCTCTGTGACAGGGAGCCAATTGCATTTGTAATGGAGGTACCGCAGTCTATGTCAACATTTTACAATATATTCTATGAAGTGCTTTGGGTCGTCTCAACGACATGATCAAGCGCTCCCCCCAGCATTGTGCCGGAGTATCGCCATGGACTGTGGACTCAGAGGCAACTGAGTCATTTCTAATTTTTTGAGATGTCTCAACGACATGATGCGGTGCTGTATCAAATGTTAAGATATTATTATTTGCCACACAGCATTGGCATTAACTACCGCCCACATCAGGCCCCAGTTAATGCATAAGAAGTTCAGCCATTGTTTTATTAGTGACGGTCATTAACACATCCCTTTAATAAGTCTACGGTATCTCATGTGGTGTTTAAACCAGTCTTAAGAAACTGCGAACAAAAACACATTTTTGTTTTTCCAACATGTACTGAGGCTTTTATTCACTGTTAACAAATCAACATAGTATGAGGAGGAGTGGAGATGAGCATCCCACGGACAAGATGGCGGGGGAAAGGGGGGGCACCGTGTGACGATGAGCCAGGACTTGTTGTGTAGGGTTCATTCATTGCAGTCTAGACTCTGCTCTTAATCCCTCAGTATCGCAGAGCATGCATAGGGGAGAGGAAGCCTAGTGGCTGCCTACGTCTCACCCCACGCTTTCGGCGGTGATGGTGGTGACGATGTCCTCTCCTCTTTACAGATTTCCGTCCCCTTCCAGATCTCTTCTTGGAGTAACGAGCCCTCGCCATGATTGAGATTCAACCGTGTTTCTGACTGCTGGTGGCCTGGTAGGACAGCCTTTTTATACTGTTGTGTGGCCTCCACACTCCCATTGTGGGCCATTGTACTTCACTCAGTCACGACCTTATAAGGTGCCGATCCCTAACTACATCCCTAACTACATCACACCTGACATCACAAACCAGATTTCTAGCTGTTTCGCTGCCCACATCAGTAACCACATCAGTAATAATAATAATAATAATCCTTGCATTTGATACAGCGCCTTATCACGTCTTCAAGACGTCTCAAAGTGCTTCTGCAAAGTGAATTGGCTCTATTTTGTGGGCAAAACGCTGCAGCCAAATGCATACATAGTGTCCCATTAACAGTCGTGGATTGAGAGACCAAAAATATTATTTATTTTATTGAAGGGAGACCTGGGAGAATCTGATCGTCTTGGGTTACCAGGAACCAGGGAGGAGTGGGGTAGATTGGATGTGGGGAATATGATTGGATGTGTAGAAAAGCTATGGACAAGAGATTAAAAAGATAACTTGCTGCCATGATCTAACAAATTAGACTAGGCAAATGCTCTTTATCAACAACTAGGCATCTCTGTGTAAATAAAACCACTGACGGTAGCTTGCATAGTGGGCATGTGGATGTCAGGTGGAGCACACAATCGAGGAGCTGGCCGGAGGACTTTACCCATGGTAAAGAGTTAATAGCTCGGAACTAGACAATTAGTAGATTTTAAAAAAAGGAAGGTTTTAATAAGAAATACGCTCTGGTGAACAATTGCCTAAGGTGATGAGAATAACTGGTTCACAGCTTAGTTTGTACACTGTCCATCCAATCCGACTTAACTAACTTTCGGAGTGAAATCAGGAAACATTTTTTCACTCAAAGGGTAGTGGAAATCTGGAACTCTCTCTCCCAAATGACTGTGGGAGCTGAGGTGGATAGATTGGAGTTGGAGTGCAGATAAGCCATGATCTAATAGAATGGCGGGACAGGCTCGAGGGACTGAATGGCGGGACAGGCTCGAGGGACGGAATGGCGGGACAGGCTCGAGGGACTGAATGGCGGGACAGGCTCGAGGGACTGAATTGTCTACTCCTGCTCCTATGCATCTATGCATTATTGGTCACTGTTCACACAGTCAAAGGCCAATGTATATCATAAGCTGAACAGCAACATTGTCAGGGAATTAATTCATACAAATAGCGCATCAGAATTCAATATCTAAATCAACCTGACAATCTGTTCAAGCAGCTTTCAGATTCTGTTGGCTGTGTTCTTTTTCGTTAAAAAATGTCATTATTTTAAAACTCATCAACCTAGCATTTAAATAGAGTTCTTGACATATTACTACAGATCCAGGTTTCATCAAAAGGTCAATTTGAATTTGTCAATGAAGCTATCTAGTGATAGATGGCGTTACCCTTTTAAAACCACCCGAAGATAGTACTGAGTGTTATAATAGGATGCATGTCAGGACAGAAATGTTAGGACTCTTTTAATGCCTGTCAAAATGCAAATATGTTGTAATTGTGTGCATATATTACATTATTACACTTCACAGTTATGAAATTGAAGGTAAACTAAATATAAAATCAAGGACAACAGGTCAAACCGTATTCCAATTCGCGTTTAAAGTAGAATGTCAGCAATAAGATGCAAACGGCTGAGGTAAACCACAACAGCTGATAAGCGTAAGCAACCTTCTGCAGCCCCAGCAGTTTAGCAATCTCACAAGTTGCAAAATCTATATCTAGCTCTTCCCACGTAAGTGGCATCTTTGCTGAAGCTTACGTGCCAACATCGTCTTAGCTGATGTCCCACTGAAATCGAAAGGCAATGGAATAGTTGAGTGGCAATGAATATGAGAAGTTTTTCCTCAGTCCCTGGAGGAACGAGAATAAAGCAGCATTCACATCTTTATGCATTGTGTGAGATTCACTTTATGCTAATAAATTAGGACACAGCTGTGCACAATTGGCTGCCGCGTTGCGCCCACAAAATAGTCAATTCACGTTACAGGATATTCTGTGAAGTGCCTTCAGACATCTCAAAAACTTGATAAGGCACTATATTAAATGCAAGAATTACTATTGTTATAAACTAATTCAGTAATTGTATTTTCTTTGGCTAGGTGGGGTAGGGGAGAAGAAAGGTGTATTTTTCCCCACAGTACTCACACAGTTTTAGCTCTGGGACACTAACATGTGTGAGAGGGGGCCCTATATAAATGCAAGTTGTTGTTGCATGGATGTGAAAGATACCTTGACAATATATCATTTAGTTAATTGCCATTCAACTAGATACTGTCACAGTATCTTTCACATCCACTAGAACATGCAGACAGTCCTCAGCGTTTTACATCTTTTCTTAAAAAAAAATCGCCTCTGACAATACAGTGCACCCCAACACAGTACTGGACCGACAGGATGGACAATAAGATCAAGTGCCAATATGCAGCTTGAATTCCTAACCTTCTGAACGACCTCGAGGCGCGAATTCCTCCAACTGAACTAAGTGGACATTGACATCAATGCCATCAAAACAACTGCTGATTTCTCCTACAGAAAAAAACCTGTGCTCGGAAAATAATACTACCAGCGCCATGATCACTTCCCATTCTGTGGGCTTGCTGGGGCAAATTGGCTGCTGCAATTGCCCACACAGGACCCATTCCATTTCCGATTAACCTTACTCCAGAACAACACCCAGAAAAAATTGTTCACTCACTTCATGGCTGTAGGTGAGACACATCTATGCGCAAATTGGTTGTCGCATTTACCTGTAAAAATACAGTTACTACTTTACTGTAAAAATCTTTGAAGGACTTTGAGATTGACAATGTGATCAGGTGCTATATCAAATTCAATGTTTGATACAATAATAGTGTTTTGAGATGTTTATTTGACATAAAAGGGGTTATATTTCTGGAATGTACATATCAATTCTGCCCACAAAATATACAGTCAATTCACGTTACAGGATATTCTATGAAGCGCCTTGAGACATCTCATAGACGTGATAAGCCACTATATCAAATGCAAGGATTATTATTATTATTATCTGGAGATCACTAGGAGAGAATGTGACCTTGGGAGAAAGGGAAACCTGACCCACTGCATCTAATTACACAGCTCCTTTAATCTCTCCACTTAATCAAATGCCGTTGCAATAGACACTTATGAATGCATCCTTTGAAGCAAAACCCACAACTCTGTGTGAATTATTATTTATTAATATATAACTAACATTCCACAAACTAAAATGGCTTCATCCTGGAATAGGAAAGTGGAACTGACTTTACTCATTGGGTCCACGTTGTGTTTTACCCCCTATTATATCTATGTCATTATAGTATCCAATAATCTCTGAAGTCAATAAAAAACCATGATCAATACTGAGTTGCATTCATTGATTTTACTTCATTGAACCTAATCCTACCCTCACCAAATACCCAAGACTTTTATAACAGCAAATATGCAAGCACTTTCCACTGGGATCACTGGACAGTGATCAAAAGCAGCAAATCTTGCTGTCCACTGATTTTACAACAACAACAAAATTATTTTTGTACGGCATCTTTCATTCAGGAGGACATCCCAAGTCAATGGACAGTAAGAGTTTTGGACCTGAGCTGGGGGTCAGGATTGGGGAGGGTAAAGGGAAGGGGGGAAGCAGAGTGATTGAAAGCACAGTCGAAGAGGAGGGTCTTGAGATGGGTCTTGAAGTAGTCTTGAATTTTAGTGTTACTGTGGTAGCTGACATTGCGAGCCCAGTAAAGGAATAATCACTAAACAAGAGACATTTAACATAGCTCAGTTTCAAATCCTTTTTAGATTATTCCCAATATTTCTGCATGAAAGCGTTGGGATTAATGCAGAATGTCTCATACAATTACTGTTCTGCAAGTCTATATCCCTGACCTGGATGAAGAGATTACTCCCTTGTTATATTAATCTGGTAATCAGTGAAGGCATTGAATAATGCCATCACAGTAATATTGCTAACAAACCTGGGCATCTGCCTGAACAGCCCTGCGTACACTTACTGACCTGCATACGGACTCTGGGGGTTCAAGATTTCATGGAATCTTAATGCAAAGGAACTGCAATATACATTTATATTGTGTCGTTCACATCACAATGACATCTCAAAGTGGTTCACACAACTGACAAAGCTCAAGTTGTGTAACGGGAGGAGAGGGGAAAGGTGAGCATTGCTGAAAGTGTGGTGGAAACAGATTCAATAACAACTTTCAAAAAGGAATTAGATAGTTACTTGAAAAAAACAACAAAATTACATGTGTACAGTGTTTTTCACATCGTGAGGACGTCCCAAGGCGCTGGACAGTCAGAGTTTCCGACCCGAGCTGGGGGTCGGGATAGGGGAGGGTGGAGAGCAGGTGGGGTGGGGAGAGGGTGATTGAAAGCACGGTCGAAGAGGAGGGTCTTGAGATAGGTCTTGAAGGAGGCAAGGGAGGGGACGAGGACAAACGAAAAGGAAGAATTCACTCCCTTCTGATTCCACAAATGGTAGTCAATGCATCCATTCATAGTCTCATCACACCACTCACAACTCATCACAGGGAATATTTTATGCAAGTGCAGACTTATAATTAGTTGACATCAGACACTGAACCATGAAATGTGCATCCCCAAGGGAAAAATAATTATTTTTAGCTGACTAATACTGCTGTAGATAATGAAATAATTAAAATTTTGTTAAGTTGCCATTATAGATAGTTTAAATATCAGAGTTTAAATATCTAGGGAATCAGATATGGCTCCAGGTAGTAAAGTAATCAGTACTTCTTGTTACTTGTTTCACAAGAATGTAAGTTATGGTCAGAGGTACAAAACTTCATTCATTCATACCATCAATGCAATCAGAATGAGTAAATGAAACAAACCCTTTCAAGTTTGGGGATTAATTTTTCTTTCTTTCTCCCTTTCATGTGTTGTTACTCTATGTGAAATTATGTAGGGATATTAAAATTTGATCTGAGAGACACCTCAGGTGTGAGAGGAAGTGCTGCTATAAATCTATGGCATTGCTAAGGACACTTTGCAAGTGGTCCACAGCACAAGCTTGGCTGAGCAGATTTCTATTATGTTTCATTAACTTGCAGAGATAGAGCAGAGATAGACCCAAGCTGCACTTAGTGGCAGTAATGCTTGAAGTTAAACTTGAATACCACCAATTAATTTACTTGTCCCTCTTACCATCCGCTCCACCACTGGAGGCCACGCATTCAGCCAATACGCCCCAAAATTGTGGGACACTCTCCCTCAATCCCTCCGCCTTGCCCCCTCTCTCCCTCAATCCCTCCTCTTTGCTTCCCCTGTTTCAAGTCCCGCCTGAAAATCTTCCTTTCAACCGTGCTTACAGTCACCACCCTCCCGGCTCAGAGTCAGGCTCTGCCACTGTTAAGACGCCACCCTGCGTGGAGGGCGCTATATAAGTACAAGTTGTTGTTGTCTGTGTGTGTTAGTGTTTCTCTCTATGTGCGTTTGTGAGTATCTGTGTCACACTCTATTTGTTTGTGAGTGTCTCTATGTGAGTGTTTTTCTCTCTATTTGTGAGTGTCTATGTGAGCGTCTCTCTCTGTCTGTGTATCCCTTCTATGTATGGTGTGCGTTTCTGAGTGTCTCTGTGTATGTGTGTCTCTCTCTCCTCTGTCTGATTGTGCTTATGTCTCTTTGTGCCTATGAGTGTGTGTGCGCCTTTTTCTGAGAATGTGCGACTCTCCTTGTCTGTGAGAGTGTGTGTGAGTCTCTTTGTCTGAGTTTCTATCTCTGTGTGCAGTACTGGGCCCTGAGTCAGGAGATGGTGAGGTCCTGTAGCTATGCAGTCAGGGCATTGGTACTGAGTGTCTTTTTTGGCAGATCTCCAGGCAACAAAATACAGGGTGGGGAAAATAAAGGAAACAAAATAAGCAGAAGCAAAAAGTTTAACCAAGACCTAGACATAAGTGATGTGCAACAATAAGCCATAATTACAATATATTTGTGAAACAAATGCAGAAAAAAATGCCAATATGCTTAAACTCGGTTTTGCGCATAGGAAGAGAGGAGAGACAGAAAAACATGTTAAGAGAAATGGGACACTGACGACAAAAACACGGAATCTCATGGGGGCGTGCATTTTGCCCACAAGATAGTCAATCTACTAAACAGCAAAGCCTGTGAAGCGCTTTGAGACGTGATAAGGTGCTATGTCAAACGCAACACCAACAACCTGCATTTATATAGCGCCGCTCACGCACTGTGGCTTCCCAGAACGCTGATGTAGGGTGGATATTATATTAAAAAAAGCTGCTCGCAATGACACACTGCACAATCATATACATAAACACACACATATAGATATTCTACGTGATATAAGAAAGACCCCCCCCGCCACCCACCAACCCGCCCCCAAAAATTATAAACCCTCCTGGGCCTCGACCTGTGCAGGATCCCTGGTGGACAACCCCTGCCCCAACACCCACCCCACCCCGGTGTGGTGAGTGAAGCCCCGGCACAGTTCGACAACAAGAAGCGATTACACTTGTAATAAAAGAGTCCTTCACGTCGGGAAGACGTCCTGGGGCGAGCAACTGGACAGTCAGGGGCGACAGCCGGAGGCGGTCGAAGAGGAGGGGGTCTTGAGACGGGACGGGACTTGAAGGAGACAAAGGGGGTGAGGGGGGGGGGTTGATCGAGTATTATAATAATAATCTTTTGACACAGCGGCCGATCGCGTCGTCGAGACGTCTCAAAATGCTTCGCCGGAGAGCGGTAGGTTGTGTGGGCAGCCAATTGCACGCAGCAGCGTTGCCGGGTTGAAGTGACCACATTATTATTATTATTGTGATGATGATGATGATGATTTCGAAGAAATTATTACAAGCACTGCCCCCCCTCTCCCTCTCCCCTCTCCCCCCCCCTCCAGGGCTGAGACAGCCACAGCCACGGCTTTAATTACTCACAATGTACTCGCGGACTTGGCTGTGAAAGTTTTGCTCTCTGACGGTCACATCGTCAGCGTCCATCCTTCATCGAGAGGCCGAACATTTAGATCGTCCTGGTTTTATTTATTTGTTTATTTGTTTTGATGACGGGGGGGGGACGGGGGGGGACACGGGGGGGCGAATAGATTCTAATTTTTTTCTGTTATTTTTTTACAAAAAAGGAACCGTGTCGAGCGGCGGCGTGTGGAGGAGAGGGGGGGGCGAGAAAAAAAATACGTGAGAGATGATGTGGGGGGAAAAAAAACACACACACAACACACACACACAGAGAGAGATTCAAACGGCGCCACATCCCGACGGCAGTTCTCCCTCCCCGCCTCGCGCCATTTTCCTTTCGTCACTGCGCAAGCGCAAGGGCGAAAAGCCCGCCCCCTTCGTCCCAGCAACGGCTCCTGCGATTGGTTGCCGTCGCCCACCAAGCCCCGCCCCCCCTTCCGCTTCAGGGCCTCCGCCGGCCGTTGGTCGAGACCGCGAGAGCCCCCACCCTCTCTCTCTCTCTCTCAAGCGGCTGATTGACTCGCGCTGGAGCCAATAGGAATAGGCCGGCGTTGAAGAGAAGCGCCAATCCCGATGGAGGAATCGTGCGTGCGCGAAGGGCGGGACTTGTCAGTGGTCGCGCGAGGATGACTCCCACCCCTCCTCCCCCCCCCCCACCCACCCGCTTGCCATAGGCGTGGTGAGGGTGGGGCGGGACCATCGTATGATTGACGTGCGCTGTTGCCAATAAAACTATTGTTGGCGAATCCAAGCATCAATCACAATGGAGGAATGGGTGGTGGGGGGGGCGGGACTTGTCAATGGTCGCGCGAGGTTGACTACCCCTCCCGCCCCGTGACGCAAAGTAAACGCGACGAGACGAGCGCGTGAGGCGTTGCGAAGGGATTTTTTTTAAACTAAAAACCGTTAACGGTCGCGATCGAGAGAGAGAGAGAACATGAAGAGGAAACGTCAAGGTCGGTGGGAAGCCGCGCCCGCGGGGGAGCACGAGGAGCGGCGGCGGCGGTGGTGTTGACGACGGTGCCGGTGTCTCGGCCCGGAATCTCCGGCGGTTGAAGTTCACGGTCGAGAAGTTCGTGGAGGGCAGCCGGGGGTCGCCGGAGCTCGGGGCTGCTGCCGACTGGGCAGGTCCAGGCCCCCCGGCGGGCCCCGGCCCGAGCCGCAAACAGGCCAGGAGGGAGCAGCGGCTGCTGAAGAAGCGGCGGCGGAGGGACTATTACCTGAGGAGACACTTGGAGCCGGAGCAAACGGCGGGAGAGACCCCGGGGCCGGGAGGCGAGGCCGAGGGAGAGGCCGAGGAGGAGGAGGAGACGCCGCCGGACAAGGCCGCGCGAGTGAAACCGCCCGGGAAAAGCCAGGTGGCTAAACCCGCCCCGGTCCCCCGGCCTCACGGCGGGCCGAGCGAGGCCAGGAACAGGGGTTTGCTGGAGGCCAACGAGGCCGAGGAGAAGGAGATCAAGTGGCTGGAGAGGGCCCTGGGCCTGAACAAGCGCCGCAGGAAGAGCGGCGCCATCCCGCAGTCCTTCGCCCGGGACGGGCTGGATTACATCCTGGGCGTGATCGAGCCCGGAGCCGCCGTGTCCGCCTTGTGCGATAGCGACGGGGCGGAGGAAGAGGAGGAGGAGGCGGCGGCCAGCGCCATGCAGAAACTGATGGCTGAGGAGGAGCCCAGTCAGTCTGAAGCTGCTGAGGAAGGTGAAGCTGCTGAGGAAGGTGAAGCTGCTGAGGAAGGTGAAGCCGATGAGGAAGGTGAAGCCGCTGAGGAAGGTGAAGCCGCTGAGGAAGGTGAAGCCGCTGAGGAAGGTGAAGCTGCTGAGGAAGGTGAAGCTGATGAGGAAGGTGAAGCTGACGTGCCCTCAGACAATGAAAGTGGAGTGGAGGAGGAGGAGGAGGCGATGGAAGTGGAAACTGCCCACAGTCTTGAGGACAGACTTGAATTACACGAGAGCGACTCTGGACGAACCCCTGGGAAGGACAAGGTGGGTCTCGCTTTCACACCTGCCCTCCCCCATCACCCGTAAGCGGTCAAGCTTCCAGCCTCCAGTCGGTCAACTTCACAGTATAGTTTGTGAAGCCCTTAAGACGTGATAAGGCGCTATCCTCAAGCCCCTCTCGTGCCCCCCACGCTCTGGAACTCCGTCCCAACAGTCCCTACGACTCGCCCCTTCAGTTACCTCTTTCATTCACAAGATCTTTTTTTCTCTTCAACCGTGCCTTCAGCTCCCCTCTCGACTCTCTACCCCCTCCTCGTTCCCTCACCCTGACCATTGCCCCCCTGCTCGGGTCCCGACCCAACTGTCCAGCACCTTGGGACATCCTCCCAATGTGAAAGGCGCTCTCTAAATGCAATCTTGTTGTTGTTGTTTGAGGGCCTCGGGTCTTGAATCATCTTCCCACACCCCCAACTTGAGTGCATACTATTGAAGTCCACAGGGACATTGGAACAGGAGTACACCATTCATCCCTTTGAGTCTGTTCCGCCACTCTATTTACTTGAATTGACAGGTGCTTTAACTCAGAAAGGTTTCAAATTGAGCTCTATGTATCCATACCTGATATCTGCACAATCCCCTTTACCTGTGATGGGGAGCGTTGTCACTGAATAGCAGGTAGGTTTGGGGTCCCAGCTTATTTCTCTATACAACCAACAATTGTGTAATTCACCAAAACATTGTCTCAAAGTATTTGTAATATTGAATGTATTTTCCACAGACTCAAAATGTTAAACATCAGCGAGACACTTTACTGGATATCTGATGAAAATAATGGCTGTGCTGGGCAAAAATTTTGAACGCTTTACTGATGTTCTAGATAGCCAATAACATTTATATAGCGCAATTCATGCAGGTTAGGACAGCGCTTGAACCTGTTTATATTTTCCCAAAATATAGATTCAAAAATAATCATTGCATTTGATTGATAACACCTTTCAAGACCCAAATAAATTTGGTTCAGTCCATGGTTTTATGTGGAACATTGCTCAAATTAGCTGCTGTGTTCACTCACAAAACACATAATCACACCACTCTAGAGTGTAACCCACAAAGCACTTTGAGACATCTCAAATCAGAATGCAAGGATCAGTTTTACCCTGGAGTCATTTGCAAATGGATCCAATGGTATAATCTAAATTATGCATTACTTAGGTAGAAAGATCAAATGGAAAATATATCCCTCCACAATTACGTAGAATGGATGTGAAGAAAAAGGAAGAACTTGAAAGACTGAAGAAGGCTGTGAAAGGACTTCTGAATAGGTATGAAGATTGTTACATCTTTTAATGTAAGTTTAAGTCTTGTTTGCTAACAATCCTAGAGAATTTTTGATTTTGAAGATGGGAAATGTTCCATTTATAACCCCGGTTTCTGGGAGGAGCTAAGATTCTCTTGGTTCTCATCTTGAATTGTTTCATGTATACTGCTTGTGAGATCATTACAATAAATAGTTACAGTACATAGTTCATATTTTAAATGCCACTCTTATTTAACCCTTTCCACAGGTTGAGTGAACCTAACATGGCCTCCATTAGTGGTCAGTTTGAAGAGCTTTACATGACCAACAGTCGTAAAGATATGAATGATACTCTGACAGATCTCCTCTTGGCTGCCTGTGTCACTCCTGCCTTGATGCCTGACAGACTGCTGATGGAGCATGTTCTGTTAGTTAGCATTCTTCATCACAATGTTGGAATTGAGGTGACCACAAAAAACAGTTTATTTGTAGTATTAAGTGGAGGTCCTTCTATGTGTTATTTTTAAAATGCATTTATTAGATGTACATTACAATTTTATGTACTTAAAAATAAATATCAGAACTCAGTCTAGCCCCATTGCAATGTAGCCCATACAATTAGACCCTGCATTATTGAGTTAATCACTAACTTATTTTCTTGTCCCAGCGATGACTCTAAATGTGTTCCTACATTTGAAACTCATATATAGTATATATAATGTATATTTTCTATATATATTTCTCTTAAATTCTTGTTTTTTTTAAAAAAAGCTATCCACCTATGAAATTCCCTGAGTGATGTCAAGCCTATATCTCCTGCGTTTCAAAGTTGCACCTGGCTTAATATTTTAACTGGAAAAAATTGGTGTTAATTTGGAAGCTGATTCTTTTTAACAACTGCAGAAACTGGCTAAAAGATGATAATAATTAATAATTAGGACATCCTCTTAAATCTAATTCAGATTGTGTTTAAGTTTCTTAGGTATCCACAAATCCACTCAAGTCTTAATTCAAGTTCAAATGCTTTTATAGGTAAAGATTTATTTATAGGCAAAGAGCAGGTGGAATTATGTTACTTTGGTTCTTAAATTCAAAGTTAATATTGTGCAGTGGAAACTATTTTGGTTTAGTTCATAATAACAATGATAATTAGTTAGGGGGGAGAAAGTGGCTTTAAAGGAGATAAAGTATAACTAATGCAGAACTTGCAGCAATAATGGCTGACAGCTTTAATTGGTTAGTATTGAATAAAACCTGTTAGAGTCCTTGTTTAGTTATTTGTTTAGTGCCTATACAATAATAGTTAAGAATTTATTGAAATTCAATTCTAAATCTAAAGTGAGTTAAATGATGTGTTGTCGATAATGACTCCAATTACTGTGTAGTAGAATTAAAGATTAACATTTGTTTTACAGGTGGGAGCCCATGTTTTGGAAATAGTAGTGAAGAAGTTCGATGAACTGTCTCAACATTATACTGAGGGAAAAGAATGCGATAACTTAATCAACTTGGTTGCACACCTTTACAACTTTCACGTGATTCACGCTGTTTTAATGTTCGATATTCTCAAGAAGCTCACAAGCAACTTCAAAGAAAAGGACATTGAACTGATCCTTTTTTTACTGAAGCGTGTTGGATTTTCCCTGCGGAAGGATGATGCTCTGGCATTGAAGGGGTTGATTTTGGAGGGGCAAAACAAAGCCAACAGTGTTGGGAAGCAATTTCAGGACCAGACCAGGGTAGGATTTGTTTTCATGGAAATTTATTATAAAATGACTGAGGAGGTTTAACATATACTAGTTCTCTCATCAGAATCCGGCTGAGGAAGGAGTGAATTTAAACTGTCAGGCATTGGTGCCACAATGGTATAGTAAATTGTGTGTAACTCATCACTATCCTGTTCCAGGTTCGATTTATGTTGGAAACAATGCTTGCACTAAAAAACAATGATGTACGGAAAATCCCCGGTTATGATCCTGAACCCGTTGAAAGACTTCGAAAACTGCAGCGAACTCTGGTAATGCCATAACTGTTTTTCAAATGCCACAAAAAAAATGTACATCCTTTACTCTGAACTTTTCAGCTGGAAGTTTGGGCCAAGCTTATCTGAGGTTGAAAAATGAAAACCATGAAATGAAAAGGGTAATTCAAAAGTACATTTCCTTTAGATTGTTGATTGTATACAGTCTTTTTTAATGTAAAGGATCACCTAAAGCTAGTTTCCCAGTTTTGGTGCTTCAATCTAATTGTGAAAACCTCCATAATAAAGACGAATTCAAAATACTAAATAATATCCAACAACTTACATTTATATAGTGCCCCTAACCCAGGTCAGTGTTACAAATCCAGACATATGTCCAAATATTATAAATCAAATTTCATAAATCAGATGTAAACTGCAGTGCAAGATGTTGATTCGCTGACTAGAATAAATTCTTGTTGTACTTTACCTCCTGCTTATATTCCAAATGTAAATTATTGTGGATGGTTTGCTCGATGTTTTTAAAAATCAAGTTCCATTCAAACTCCATGCGCACAGCTGTGTCCCACAAACAGTCGTGTATCGAGTAATCAAATAATTTTTTTTTTTTGAAGGGATTACTACTCCCGGAAAAGCGATCTCCCAATTGACTAACAACCGGGTTCCTACTTACTACTAAGTAAACCAAGGCTTGTGGAGTAAGAAAAGTTGCCCAATGTTTTGCCCTGCTAGAAATCAAACCTAGGCGAGTGCTTGCGGGGCGAGCATGACTGTGGACTTGAGAAGGAAAACATTCCAGGAACATGATATTGTCAACCTTATTGGTTTCAACCTTTGCAGGCTGATAATTCTGAGCAGAACAATGTATCAAGAAGAAACACTTAAAACTGTGGTAATCTAAAATAAAAGTATTACAAATGCACAGAGGCAGGTCAGTGGCTGAAAGCTGTCTGAGAAGTTGAAATTTCAGATGTAGCCTTCTACTAAAACCCAGTTCTTTCAGATATGGTAACGGGTGACATCCGAAGCGTTTTCTTTTTTAACTATGTTAAACTTGTGTAATATACTGTTCCCAGCAGTAGATGGCATAGGAGTGTATTCCCAGTACAGTGCTGCTATCTGTCTGCAGGAATCCAAAGCAGATTGTCTGTCAAACATCAAGTCCTGGATGAGAGCCTAGTTTCACCAGTTGAATGTTGACAAGACTGAGGTTCTCCTATTCATGGATGCACTCTGCAACTCACAGAGCCAGTACAGAACTTTGGTGTCTTGTTCATCCCTCAACTGTCTTTTAAAGCCCCACATCCGTACCGTGAAGCATACTGCCTTCCCCCACCTCCGCATCATTGCCTGACTCCGCCACTACCCTCCCCTCAGGCTGCCAAGATCATCAGCCATGCTTTCATTTCGTCCAGGCTTTTTCTTACAATTCTTACCTCCACAAAATGTTCAGAACTCTGCAGCTCATGTCCTCTCCCACACTGAGCTCCATGAGATGATCAGCCCTATCCAGTGATTAGAAAGCATTAATTAAGGTAGTTAGCAGGAGGAGTGGGAGGTGATTTTTTTTTCAAACCCAGAGTGACTTAGGACATGCAATGCTCTTCTGGAGAAATGGTTGAGGCAGAAACTACATTGGCTTCACAAGGTTACTAAATAAATGCTTAAAAGGTAGTCAACTACAGGGGTTTGAAGGAGGGCAGGTAAATGGGACTGAAAAGTTTGTTCTTTAAAGAGCCTCCAGCATAGATACGATAGGTCGAATGGCATTCTTTGTAAATTTCTATGGTTCACAAGATTTGCTGTGAAGTATTATAGTTTGGGGCTGAACGCAGCAGCCAATTTGCACGCAGCAATAACCCACAAAAAGCCAGGAAGTAAATGAGGAATTTTATCTGGGGATTGTTGGCCAAGAAACAGGAGACATTCCTTTCTCTATTCAAACAGTAACTGGATTTTTAACATCCAGGTTACCACAAGTACCACAGCAGTGTTTGCATGAGTTGCAGTGTCGCGGTCTGTTGAATTGGGAAACAGAACATTGCATTTGTACTTCATTCACAAAGGTGGAAAGTACAGTGACAGAAAACGTTCCAGCATAAATTTCAATTACACCAATGAAAAGGTTAATGCTGTACTTTTGCATATCCCAACTGTAAATTTATCTGTTTGGTTTCGGCAGAAATGTTTGCATTACTGTTAAAAGGGACCATTACAGGGACACTTCAGAAGATGTGATGTTTTTTATTGCTACTGTACCTCAATGTGAAATTTATAGGCTGAAAGATAAACAGTGTGTGACCTGGCATTTCCCTCATCCACAACAGTATTTCAAGTTCTATTTTAAAATGGTAATCTTAGTCTTCAGTGATATCTGATTTCTCTAAATCTACAATATAGTGGGTGGGAGGTAGTGGGACTTTTTAGTTAATTGCAACCTACCATTAGGAAAGCATCCAAGACAGGTGGTTAATGGCTGTGTGATATAACTAAAAGCAGTAGTAAAAAAAACATGGAAAATAAAATATGGGTAAGTTCAATTTACATTTATTATTTATTTAGGTGACCTGGCCCAACAATCCACCAAATAAAACTAGTGACTCACTCCACAACTATTTGTGGGACACTGCATGTGCAATTGGCTGCTGCATTTTTTACCCACAAAATACAGTCAATTCACCTTACAGTATATCCTGTGAAGCGCTTTGGGATGTCTCAACAATGTAATAAGGTTATCATTTAGCAACGATCAGAATCGAAAACATTGACTCTTGAAAGAAATAAAATGCAGTGACCCGCGTGTGTGTCTCTAGATCCGTAAGAGTGGTGGTGACTTCCAGCTCCGTGCAACATTAGAAAACTTACTGGAAGCAGACCAGGTAGGCCGTTGGTGGATTGTTGGATCTTCCTGGAGTGGAGCCCCCATGATTGACAACAGCTCAACGACACAGCAGCAGAACGTTGTTGGAGAGGTGAGCAATGCAGCCACCACCGTTAGGTGACCGTAAAATAGATGCAGTTTTGCCTTCCTATCTGCATAAACCCGTACGTAAATTTGAGTTAATTTTACGGTAGTCTGAATTTCTATGTGACCAAGAAACACTGATGGTTTGTTTTAGGTTAGCGCAAAAATGATGGAGCTTGCAAGAAAACAGAGGATGAATACAGAGATACGAAGAAATATCTTTTGTGTTGTGATGACCAGTGAAGATTATTTGGATGCTTTTGAAAAGCTCTTAAGGTCAGTGCAAAACTCTTGTCACTTTGAAAAATAAGATCTCACGTGGAGTTTGAATCATAGTGCGACTGCAACTCGGATGTTACTAGAAAACACTGTGCCAACATGGTAACACAATTTAATTGCCTTGTCCTCGTATTATTACAAAATTTCCCAATTTGCCTCTGTCATTTGACTTTAGAAGCTTCATGTGCTGTGGCCTGCGTCCTGATCAGGCTTCTATATTCCCAATGTGAAAACTGAAACTCCAAATTTAATATATTTTCAACGGTGTTATCCACTCAATATTTTAGTTTTGCCCAGCAGCACCTCCAAGGTTGGATGTAGCCTGCACAGATAATCATACTCTGATCAAGTTGAGAATAGATTTTTTCCATTGCTGTACTCGCTAGTACTCTAGTACTCTCCAGAAGCTTCAGCTAATCCAGAACTCTTGAGTTCTGTTGTACATGATCTCCTTATAGGTGGTTTTGTCAGCATCTTGAACTCGTTTCTTTGTTCGGTCTCGAGCACTACAGTTTCTAATTCTTAATGTTTTCTGTATTTTGCCTTTTATCATTATGACAGACTTGGATTGAAAGATCAGCAAGAAAGGGAGATAATTCACATCCTTGTTGATTGTTGTCTTCAAGAAAAGACATTTAATCCTTTCTATGCTTTCCTAGTGGGAAAGTTCTGTGAATATGAGAGAAGATTTCAGGTAATGTGGTCTTGCAAGATTATTACTTCTCTGAACCGTCTTAACATTTTCATTTCATTGTGTCCAATTGATAAAGGAGGTTTATTCACATTAGCGGCTACAGCAGCAATTGTGAAATTTGAAAATTGTTATTCTTGTGTTTAGGTTTTGTTTCTTATGAAGGCAGTGCAGAGGAGAGCAACAAGTTGTTTGTTCCCTATTGCTTAAAAAGGTTGCATTATGAGAAACAACTCTAAGCTGGAGCATCCAGCCTTGAAAAGATTCACCTTGGATGGCACCTTGTAGAAGTCTATAAGATGCTAGATCAGATATAGAAAGTAAACTCTATTAAATAATATTTTCAGAAAGGCCAAGCCAGCAAGACATAATGATGGGTTCAGAGTAAAGGATAGACACGAGGAAGTATTAATTTACACGGTTAACTGGAATTAGTTATTTGGAAGATTAGTGGAGACCAAAATGTTTTAGATCCATTGCTATAATGGGAAAAAGATATTCTAGAAGGATTAGATCAAACAGGCCTTAGAGCCATTTTACCAGTTAGCCAGGTTTAAGCATACTGTTTCCCAGTCTTGGGTGATCTTAGATCAGTTCCGAGCACAGTGCTAACAGCCTACTGCATGTAACTACATGGACCTGGACCAAGACATGTCCATCTCTTCTCTAATGCCATCCCAGGAGTAGCCTTACAGTTAAAGGGAATGGTGCTAGTTGAATGCCACGTGCCTCTTTTTTCACAGCTGGTAGGTTAACCACTATATTTTGCACTCTTGTAGGTGGAGTATGAACGGAAAGTCCTCCCCAGACTTTCCTTCTTTTTATGGTTTGACATTAAGTGCAAGATAATGGTTCAATGTATTGCCCAAAGTATCAGAAACAATAAATCTGTCCTTCACCCTCTTACACTCGCTCAGGCTGTTAGTTATTTCTGATCCTAAAGCATCAGCAGATTTCGCTCTACTTATTTTTTCACTGTTATTTCTCTTGTGCTTATTTGCTTGATGTTTATATTAATGGATTGCTTTTATTCATTCAGGTGTATAAGTTTACCAGTGAATTAGAATGCACTTACCTGATATATCTCTTCTGTCAAAAGCAAACATGATGACTGCTTGGAATATTTGTTTTATTCCTGTGAACAACTATGCCAGTGTTTCAAACTAGCCTTGAGAAGGAAATGCTTAGATCTTAAACTATCACAGTTTAAGAGTGATTGTCAGCAAGAAATAAAAATCCTTCTATTGTGGGTTACTTTACTGTAAACTTCATTCTATTTCCAATTTTAGTTGAGTGGTTTGAGTATCAATATTAGCACTTTGGTTTATTGCATAAAAAGTGTCTTAACAGTTCCTTGGGTAATTGAGGATAATGGGCTTTTTGTGATCATTTTAAAGTGGGTTGGCTGAAAGATGTCTAGGGTCTATAATCCTACTAACACATTTAAGATTGTTTATTGCAAAATAATGTAAAACTCAAGACACATTCTTTGGATATAATGGAACTAAACTAACATCAAAGTTTCTATCTTCTCCCGTACATGTTAGATATATAGGTTGATAGACCTACTATATACATTTGCCTGGATTTATAATGTTACTTTAAAGACTATATGAAGAATAGCACCAAGTAGTACTTTCAGCATTGTGCTGGAGCATCAATCTGTATTACAAACTCAAGACCTGATGTGTAGTTTCAACCCACAGCCTTCTGATCTAGAGATGAGTGTGCTATCAATTGAACCAGGATAACGCACAATTTTATATTTCTTTGTAACGGTTTCATTAATATCACAACAAGAATTAAGGTTTGTTGAGCACCCTGGGCATATTTCAGATTTGTAACTGAAGTAGTTCTGTTTGCACTCTTTCATTGTGAATAGATGACATTCCAATTCACCATGTGGGATCGATTCAGGGATTTAGAAAACATGACCACTGTGACGACCACAAATTTGGTTAATTTACTTGTCCATCTTCTCAGCAGAAAAGTGCTGTCTCTCTCCATCTTTAAGGTCAGTGTATTCTGCACATAAAGTGTTAATACATTTGGAGAACGTGTGTGAATTAGCATCTTCCATCGCTACACAAAACGTAATTTGAGTAACTTTACTTAAACCATTTTGATATTTTCTAACAGTAAATCTTTCTCGGGAGAATAGAGGGGCAATTACACAAGGTTTATACAATACAACTACCTAGAATCCTAAAAGGAAAGAAAAATAATTAAATATTTTTTATATTTTTGGAAATGTATGAATTAAGTCTGAGAATAAGGCAATAAGTCGTAACTCATTTTCAAAGAATGTTGGCTGCCAGCAGAGCTATGGATTTCTCATGAATGTGGACCCAACAGCACTTCGTGTCAACAACAAGGATTGCATCCTTTGCATGGCATCATTTTATGAATGCTTATGAGTAACTGGCTGTATTTGATCTGGGTCCCTCAAGCATCACGGTATTATGGCTATCTTTGATATGTAAGAATCATTGTGTAGCAGTAATTAGGTTGTTAGTCGATTAGCAGATTGCTTTCCAGGGGACAAAAATTAGTCACTCAATGTACGACTGTGGAACACTGTTGTATGCAATTTGCTGCCAATTTTTGCCCACAAAATACAGTTAATCAATCCACTTTACAATATATTGTATGAAGCACTTTGAGACGTCTCAACAAGTGATATGGTGCTATATCAAATGCAAGATTATTATTGTCATTAAGGTTGATTTATTTTGAATTTATAATCAAATGGAAATTAAAGCTTTATTTGAGAGGAAAAAATCAGATTTTTTTTTGCAGCAATTCTATTTGTGTTGCCTATAAATCAGGAGAACAGCCTTGGTTGTCAGTTTGTTTCCCTTCAACGGGAGCTGACCTTAGTAACTGTTTGTAACTAAACAGTCTGGTGCTCAGGTTACTGTTGGTGTCTTGCTGTATTTGAAATGTAAAAATAGTGCTGTAACCATGTGATTTCATTCTTCCAGGGACACTTAAAATGGGAAAAACTCTTGCATGATCTTGCAGAAAGTTAACTGTTCATCTTGTGTTCCTGACTTGACATTCTAGGTGATTGAATTCAGTGAACTGGATAAACCTAAAGTCAAGTTTCTGCGGCAGATTCTAGTAAAAATGCTTCTGGAATTGGAACCAGAAGAATTGACGAGCGTATTTCAAAGGTATCTTCTCATGATTTAACTTTAGTTATCCGACAAATAACTAAACAAAACTTTGTGCCTATCATTACCTCCCACCTCTCCAGAATGGGAAAAGGTGATGAACCAATTATTTAAATAACAACATTTTATAAGTTATTTTCCACATCCTAGTTCTGTGGAAAATCTGAGATGTATCTACTTATTAAACCATCAGGGAATTTCACTACGTATTTCTTGGGACGTCCTCCTGACGTGAAAGGAGCTATACAATTGTAATTTTTGTTGTTATTGCACTTTGCAAGAACAAAAACTCAAAAGTGGTTTTGGTTTACACTTCTCCATGTACTTGTGGCTGATATCACCAAAGGGATCATGTAGATAAGGAGCGGAGTAATGATAGAAACCTCAAGAACACTGCGGGTACTGTGTGGGAAGGAGAAGTAATTAGAGGAGATGTAGTGAGGACCCTGGGACCAGGAAAGTGCTTTAGGACCAGGGAGCGACACTGGAGAATGACAAAGTGATCGATTGTGTCAAAACAAAGGCTACTTAGATCTTGGAGGACAAGAAGGCACAGACTGAGAAATGACTTGGACTAAGCCTGGCTTATTGCTGTGGGTGAGTTGGAATCCAGATTGGAGGGGTTCCTAGAGAGAATAAACAAACATCAAATCTATGTCATGGATATTGCTGTCTCTAAATGCTCATTTTCTCCTGTCATTGCAGGATCTCTGGAATTCCGAAGTTAGCCATGTTACGAGAAGGTCTGAAACTCTTCATCACACACTTCCTTTTAAAGAATGCCTCCAATCTTGGCTCCTCACAGGAAGCTAATTTACTTAAAGAACATGTTGACCTTGCTAAAAAGGCTCTACAAGCCAAAGATGCTAAACTGAAATTTTAAATATTACAGATGTCATACGGATGGACAGGAACTGAGAAATCTTGTATATTTTGACTTAAAAGACCTTTGTTACAAAATAGAGGAGTGATAGCGTCACTGGTTGAAACTTTGTACAGTAAACTTCACAAGTTGTATCTGTTGGGACCATACACTTAATAACTTATGCAAAGTATGATTGATGTGAATAAGTCGTATCATATGACTTGTATAAAGTTACGTTTAAATTGGGTTTTACATTACTTCTACATAAATACACAATTATGAGCTGGCTGCTGACATTAAGGTAAGGTTTCTGTACCATGTTTAGCCCATGTATATTAAAGCTATGGTAGCTCATTCCTTCTATGTACAGTACTGCATCTCATGTGAAGAAAACATGTGCTGTACAATGAATGGCACAACCAACCAGGTTTTGAAACAACAGTTTTAATAGAATATAAACTCTTCCAAAGGACACAGTATTCTGGAACTGAATTATCAATCGTACTTGTTCACTGTTATGTACTGCACATGTAGTTCCTCCATATTACAGCCGGGAAATTAGCATGTAGGTCGGGACTTAGGTTTGTGCGATTATCTGACATGGAGCACTGTGTATACTGCTTCAAGACCGGTAAACGCACACCCTTCACTCTCCACGTCATCACACATTACTCCATGTGATCAGTCTCCTCTTTCCTCTCTCAGCCCTCACTGCCATGAGCAATGACACTGGGAGGAAGGTTGTGGAGAGTTAGGGTCCTACCGGTGGTAGTGGGAAACAGTTTTAATCCGGCAGCCAGTAACTTCAGAAGCGTTGCTATGAGTTGTCAGATTGTTAATATGACTTCATATACATTTAAGTGTATTTAATAGGTAATTCAATGGCACTTGGGCAACATAGGCGATTATGATTTATACAGATCAGATTTATGTGACTTACTAAACTAATTTATTTAGAAAATCTACTTTGCAATTAGTTGCATGTGCAGAAGCAAGCACTAGGTGGTGCATTTCTACTGTATCAGTATGTTGGTGCCTTGTTCTCACCAGGCCTTTTTGTGCTGGTAGTTGCTTTGCAATTGAAAGTTTCCATTTGTATTATCAATAAAACCTAGCTATATATTCTTTTTGGAAGAGATTTAATTTACTAAAATATGTACTTTTTATAATTGTGAGCTACCTCTGAGTCAAGAAGGTTGGGTGCAAGCCCAATGTCAGGCCAACAATTCCCAAGTAATATTGGTCACTCACTCCATGGTTGTTTGTGGGACATTGCTATACAGTCAATTCACTGAACAGTATATTCTGTGAAACGCTTTGAGAAAGTCTCGCAGCTGTGAAGCACTATGTGAAATGCAATTATTATTGCTGTGCAAATTGGCTGCCATGTTCGTCCCCAAAACGCACAATCACTTTACAGTATATTATGGAGTGCTTTGGGATGTCCTCGACATCAGACTTTCTACCAAATTTAAGGAAGATTATTTATTGTGGTTAAATGTGATAGACTGGATCATTGAACTACATAAAAATAGTATAGAATTGTATTAAGAGTTCATAGAGGCATTTTATAAATGAAGTTAGTTTGGTTATAACAATCTAATTATTTGTTAGAGAGGTTCTACTGACATTCAAAATAATGATGTTTGTTCAGCAGTGCATGTGATAATGTAGCCCATTAAACATGAAGGTCACAGGACACCCATGTTAATCTCAGTGTTACAAAGTCCATGAAACATGTCTTCATAATTGGACCTTTGGCTCCTAGCATTTGATTGCTAGTTAACAAAGTCAATTGTTTAGAAGAAGCAATAATCGCAATGTAGATATCCTGTTTATTGAAATCTGTGAGCCTGAAATTCAACGTGAAACTTGATCTTGAAAGTTTTATGCCTTGGCTTGAGTAGGAGAGGAGTTTGACATGCACATTCAAATCTGTCTGATATACCAAATATCTAATGGACTGGATAAACTGCACCTAATTCTCACTCTTTACCCTCCACGGCCTTGCCCTCTCTAAATCTCTGACCTGCTGATCCCTCATCAACCTGTCCATTCCCTCCTGCTCCAAGTCTCCTACACAACCCACCCTACTTTCAGCAACCAGGCTCTCAGCCTCTCTGCCCCCACTCTTTGGAACTCCATCCCACAATTCCTGTGCCTTGCTTTCCTCTTGCCTCCTTCAAGGAATGACTCGAGACCCTCCTTTTTGACCATGCCTTCAGCTGCCCTCCTACTCCCTCTGCCCTCCCTCATCCCAACCCTGCCCCCCACGCTCAGGTCCTGACCCCTGACTGTTCAGCGGTTTCGGACATCCTCCCAACGTGAAAGGCACTTTACAAATACAATTTTGTTGTTGTTCGCACCTAATCCCAGATGTGCAAAATGGTAGACAAGTAATTGAGAGCCCCCACCTTTCAATAAATGTGTTCCAATTGTGAGGAAGTGAGAGATTAGCATGAATATTGTACTAGATGATCCTAGCAGTCACGGGCTGAGCCACTCCTAGCAAAAGAACTTAAGATATAGTTTCACTTATGGTTTGTGGAAACCCCCCATCCCATCTTCCTCACACTTCTGTTACATAAACCCACTTATATATCCCAACTTCTGCGACCTTGGTACCTTAATCCTGATCTAACATAATTGAGGGAAATGCTTGGCACTGATCTCAACAATTGAGCCTGCTACACTTAATTGGTTCATTATTAGTCCAGCGCAAACCTGGTTCTGATATAAATCTAGTTGTATTTCACTCACAAAATACACGGTCAACTCACTTTACAATATATTCTGTGAAGTGCTTTGAGATGTTTCAACGACATAAGGTGACATAATATCAAATGCAAGGATTATTATTATTTTTCCTATTGCCTGCTATTGAGTGTGCAGTGTTTCATTACCAGACGTCCTTTATATCTGGTTTAAAAAAAAATAGGTTCTGCCCGTCTTTATTTATGCCAGATTCCCAAGTGGACATGTGCGTGAACGTTGACAGATTCGCTGAAAAACTGCTTTAGTGTGGGGGCATCATAGCCAAACCCAATCATTGTCCTTTGCCTGATGTGGTAGTCTTGAGCTGTCTTAACAACAGCAAAATTACATTTGTATAGCACCTCTCACGTTGGGAGGACGTCCCAAGGCACTGATCGGGAGAACAAAACATGGCTTATTTCCCCCACATAACCCAGTGAATACTGAAACAAACTGTAGTACCAAATTGCTCCCTGGTTGAAATTACTAATTGGGCCCACATCAGGATATGAGCCAGGCGTAGTGAGATGAATTTCCTCGTGACTGTTAGAGTAACTCATAGATAGCTTGTTCATGGTGATAAAATGAAGTCAGAGTTCAAGGCCAGTCTCTGTAGTGACCCTGCTGAAGTTTAAGGAACAATTGCTGGCTGAATGATGAGGGTAATTTCTGAATGGCTAATGGCTAGTTTGTCCTTTGTTGTACTATATATCACTCAAAGAGGCAGATGGGACCTCAGTTTAACATTTTATCCGACAATGCAATGCACTAAAGTTACTCATTGAATTTTAATTTCCAAATTAAATTTTTTACTTAATTGTGGAGTCCTGTAGCCCTCGCTTCGCAAGCCATAGGACCTGGGTTTGATTCCCAGGCAGGATGAAACGTTGGGCAAGTTTCCTTACTCCACACACACGTCTCTGTTTAGCAGCAGTCAGTAGGAACCCATTAGTTGATTGGCGGATCACTTAGGTGACAAACTCTGTCTTGTCTGGATACTCTTGAGCACAGTGATGGGTTTCCACATGTTTGTAGCACTGGCTGACCAAAATACATTGTACTGTAATAAGATATCTTCAAGTTCCCAATAGTACCTTCGCCACACAGTTTTGTGTTTTTCAAATGACCTTTTTTTTTCCCCCCCCTTTCTCCTCAGTTTTGTCGAAGTGTCAGATATCTTCCCTCTCCCTCTCTAGAGTGGATAAATTACGCAAATTGCAGTTACTTCAGTCGCTGAAAGTCCTTTAAGGATGTGGACAATGTAACGAACAATGAAGCTGAGCAGGGGGGCTATTCAGTTCAAATAAATAGATCTCCAACTTTAGTGTTGATGATGTGAGTTGTAGGGATAGTGTTAATGATTGCCTGTACGTTTAGGAAGAATGTGACTGTCAGAAATCATATTCCAACCAAGTTGTGTTGATTATTATTATTTCAAGAACTCTTCAAAAGTATAGATGTATATAATATATTCTTTTAACATGTTTGAATTGTTATAATAGTTTTATTTTGGATTATAACTATAAATTTTAAAAAAACTCTTCTATCCTCTCCTCCAGCCTTGTCACATCCTGCGATCTGTTACACATTTACACTATTATTAGGTATTTCACACTATAAAATAAAATGCTCCTTGGCAACCCCCAGGTGAGTAAAGCCGTTAAACTCCTTTCCCCTCCCCTCCTTGTGTTGACATTGCAGCCCCCGTTTCAGAAAACCAAACTTGAAGGGAAGAGAGAGAGGGAGGGCTAAAGAGAGAGAGAGGTTAGAGAGATAACACAAGTCATTCCTTTTGTTACTTCCCAGCTGGGCAAACCGTCTCTCTTGAATTATAACCTAATCAATAATTGATACTCGTAATCCGGCCATACCATAATCACACAAATTGCCGTGAAACTGACAAAGGATTGAACTCTCCTTATCTGCTCGTATGGGTCTTTTGGCCCCCAAAAAAGACAGGGCCATTGTCCTCTCACCTTAACAAACCAAAGGGGTTGGATGTCCCAGGTGACAGAGTCTTGTTTGGCAGATTGAACATCTTAGAGTTGAAAGAATTGGTTTGTCAGGATGCTTCTAAATAGACCAACGAGTATTGTGTATTGTGTCGTCATTTCTCACGCCCCTCCCCCAGGTTTCCCCCAGAGTGTGTGGAGTTGCTGTGATTTTAGGCCAAAAGCCACCATGAACACTTTAAAAACAATCAACCCAGGGACAGCACTTTGGACACATCTGCCCCAGCTTGAACTGGTTAAAATCAAGAGGTGGATTTGAGAAGAAAGACAAAATAGATGCTTTGCACCAAACACCAGTGGTTATAATAATCCTTGGATTTGATACAGCGCTTTATCATGTCTTCGAGATGTCTCAAAGCGCTTTCACAGGATATACTGTAAAGTGAATTGACTGTATATTTGTGGGTGAAACACGGCAGCCAATTGTACACAGCAGCGTCCCCACAAACAGCCGTGGATTGAAGTGACCAATATATTATTTGTTAAAAAAGGGAATTATTACCCACTGAAAAACGATCCGCCAATCAACTAACAACCAGGTTCCTACTTACTGCTGAGTAAACAGAGACGTGTGGAGTAAGGAAACTTGCCCAACATTTTGTCCTGCCGGGAATCAAACCCAGATCTCTTGCTTGCGAAGCGAGTGCTCTAACCACTGAATTCCACATTGTTGCCATATTGTTGTCTTCATTTACGTATTGGGAAGAAGTTTCAGGGGAGTTTACAGAGGAATTTGGAGGAGGAATAGGTAATGACCAGCACTAAACACAAATAGTTGGGAAGTAGTGTGTGTAAGTGACAAAAGCATTAACTTTATTACAGGATGAATAGTCATCGTACCTCAATGACATTGGTGCACCATTTCATGAGTGGTGTTGCTGGGGAGCCTGGCTAGGAGAGCATTGGAATAATCAGGATAGGAGATGCCGAACACATGGATAAGGGTGTGAGGTTTCAGTGAGGCTTGTCACAAACGGAAAGGACATCAACAACAATAACATTCTTCTCACTCGGCTCCTGTTAACCCTACAAGCCAAAGCCTGAATATGTAAGTGGACCTCGCTGGACAAGCAGCAGGAAAACTTGGAATTGCAAAGTATTGATGGGATGAATGAAATTCTCAGCTTGGTTTGGATACTCTTTAGCATGGTGATGAGTTTCTGTCTGCGTTAGACACCCGGCTGATCACGGTGACGGTTTCCGTCAGTGTCAGACACCCGTCTGATTACGGTGACGGGTTTGCGTCAGTGTCAAGACACCTGGCTGACCAAAATAAAGGGGACCCATTCAGTACATCGGGTTTGTGCTTCTGCTATTTTTCAAAATTGCCTTTTTTTTAGTTAATTTTTGTTTCCAGCT